TTATTTGAAATAGCATATTGATTTTTATTGTATGGTGTATGCTCGAGTGTGTGTAACATAAACTAGGGATATGAAACTTCTCGAAGGAGAGAGAAAAAGTTCGCGACGCGACGCAGCGAATAAAAAATCTTGCCTCTGATGCATCGAGCGTGTACGCGGTCGGGAGGAAGGAATTCGCGCAAAAGCAGATGATATCACGTCCGGGTCGTTTGTTATATCAGACGAATACTTCCTGTTTGCGTGGCGCGTACCGTCTTTCTGTCGAGTAAGATTCTCTTCTTCGCGATCTATAGATCACTAGCGCAGTTCCTCTCATCCGGAGTCGCTTCCGGCTCGGGCCTTCACAGCTGCGTCGCGGAATCTCTCGCAATCTCGAATTCCTACACGGATGTAAACGGCCTGCCGGAACAACTTTACGGATTGTTTCCATGTCCACGTATTTTTTACGATCCTCTCTCTCTCTCTCTCTCTCCTTCCCTCTCCACTTTCTGTACTTTTCTTAACCGGCTTAATGTGTTCATTTTTCTTAATATCCCTTCACCCGTTTTCATTTGCATTATTTCACGCTTTGTCCTCCTCCACTCCTAATTCTTTCTGTTTTCATTTTTTCTTAAGGATTTAACATTCTTACCGTTTGTTCTTGCAACGAAATGTTTATAAAGCTTATTATTGTCTAAAATTGATTTTACTACCGACGAAGCATTTTTTTTCTACATATCAATTATCGTATATTTCCCGTTTCATTATTTCAAGCCTCGTTTATTCAGCTTCGTATCAAAATGCTGCCTCCTTGCTCCTTATCTGCATTACTTGGTCCCCTTTTCTCGCACGCGATTCTAGTTCCCCTCGCTTTTCCATCTTCATTTCTACAGAGGTTCCAGACTTTGGTTCGCGAAATGAAAGCAGGGCTGCTCGCGGAAACTTCACATTTGTTTTCGTTTCTCTTCGTATCTCGGAAATAAGAATCTAGCAAAGACACTCGAAAGTCGGATTTGTGGTGTTGAAAAATCTCAGTTTAATCAATCTCAATGAAATAATGAAAATTTTCTAATGCAATTTGGTTACGTACTCCTATTTTTTAATTCCCTTTGACGAGCGTTTGTGTTCTCTTAAAAAGCAATAGCTATCCGACGCGACACACGAATAGGAGTTTCGTGACCGACAAACCAAACCACTATTGACCGGTTTATCTGTCATTCCATCGACTACCACCACCGGTGGCCTGAGCAAACCGACCAATACACAGGGGTCAATAGCAACGGATGCCAGAACGTTCAGTGTTCTCATCTCGGAAATCGGAGTCGTCGATGGGCTTCCGACTCCGCGTCAAATGGAAACGGAAAACCATTGACGACGAACAAAAGTTAGTTAATTAACGACAGTATGTCGGACAATGAATTTTTTTAAAAGCGTCTCATTAATGCTATTTTTCCCAGGTCCATAGGAGAAACAATGAAATCCGTGTTTCTACAGCACACGTATTAATTAATGACCCGAGGTAGAACAATTTGTTCGTATCTCGCGACGCGTTGGACAAAAGATTAAATAATTCTTTACAAAGAAAAAACAGGTATAGTTCATTCTTTCCGAGCGACACTCGCGTCGAAGCGCACAGTCCTTTGTAAGTTCTAATTAATATTCTTGGCAATTACGTTAGTTAGCCTGATGAATTTCAAGGAAGGATCTTTGGCAACTGCGTTAAGAGAGAAGCGATAAACAGGAAGTGCGTTAATTAATCTGCTAATTAAGAAGGGTTGGTCGATGCAACTTCGAGGATTTCCTGTCTTCCCACCAAGGTGAAAAGCTCGTAAGTCTAGGGAAACAACTTTTGCAATTGGGTATGGCGTAACATTCGTAATAAATTCATCTCGACAGTACATTCATTTATATTATTAATGATATAAAACGATAGAGGCGGAGAATATCAGTAATTTTAAGGCAAATCGCGATTAAACCTGTATTCGAGGCGGAAGTATTGGAACACATAACGGGAATCGTGTGTCTCACCTGAATGACGGTCGCCAAAGGGCTCTTGTTGGCCGGATAATCCAGGCTGTCCCGGTGCGCCCAAGCCAGCGGCTCGTAGGTGCTGTGATTCGCTTGAAAAATGGTCCAGTCACCGCCAGGAAGTGGTCCCCAGGCTGTTTCACCGGATCTGGTTAATCGTAGGATGGGAGACGCAGCGTTCAGCTGTGCATCCTGGAGAAGCAAGGAAATCGATCTCATTTTGTCCACTTCAGGACGTGTGTCGTTTATCCTACTCCGGTTCGATAGCAGGTTCAATTCATTTATAAAAGGTTCGTAAAGTTTATGAAGATTTTCTAAAGAAAATAATCGTTGCCAGGTAATATTGATAGATTGATCAATCCGATATGATTCTTGTGTAATTTAATCATAGGTAGCAATAATAGTATCGATACTTTATTCAAAATAGTAACTAGATTGCGACAGTTAGGCATTGTTAGCGTTTACTATACAGTTTCGATAGCCTTTCTTTTCTAGTTGGGCATCGACCGTTCCAATTTTTCTACGAAATAAACTCGAGGTCGTTTCGTCACCGGCAACGGAGATTGCCAATCGCGCTGTCCGACCCCTTCGAACCGTTATCGAGTGCCACGGCGAAATTTATTTTGCACCGGCCAATAAAAACTATGCACACCTATCCTGAACGCGTTTCGATCTATCTTCTTTTTAGAACGTCAGTTCTTTTGAATATCAATTTGTCAGTCTTTGTTAGACGGAGTGCAGTCTCGAGGGTTATGAAGGAAATTGTTGATAATAACCTTTAGTCTAAGATTGGTATGGACGAAAAGAGGAAAGCCCTTGAGTTGCGCACCGACCAGGCTCTCTTCTCCCGACGGCGCGAACCCGACGATGCCCACCGAATACTCTCTGCAATATTTGTCCAGCAATTCGCGATTCCACTTGTCCATCTGCAGGTACTTGTTCAGGTTCTCGAAGATCAGTACCCCGTAACGACCCTTGTCTAGGTTCGTAAGCACGGGCAGCGACTTGCCGGCCACTTCCAGCTTGTACCTGTGTCAGAAAAATCAAAATCTCCCCGTTAGAATACAAAGTTCATATAGGCATTAAAAAATTATTGAAGCTTGTCAACGATTTCACAATTTAAAACCCTTAATGAAGGAAGAGAAGGATCATCAGTTGAAATTAACATTTCTTTCGACTCCACGCTTGTTCCGCTCTGTTCCCTTGGTTTTCTTTTTGATCGTGAATATTTCGATGAGTCGATTCGCGGGGCAACGGCCTCAGCCGACAGTGGTTACGGCAATTTCAATCCGACCGGGTATCGGTTATTTAAAACGGTGGGCGGATAATAAATGCGCGAAGAAAAAAATATAGAATATCGATGGAAGGAAGCGGGTGGGGCAGCCCGGAGTATCGTTATTGTTAAACGATAAAACAAGAGCGGTTTTTATCGAAATCCCATTGACGCGGCATCTGAAACGTTTCGAGAATAATAAAGCAATTATACCATAATGTACCTTTACATTTTCGAGGCGATTTCTCTACTGGTTCCCTTTATCCTCGATTTTTAATAACGTTCCAACTCGAACGCCGATGGGATATCAGCATTTTTATCCGATCGTTTTTATTCGCCCTTCCACCCGATAAACCGACTTTATCACTGAAATAAACCGATCGAACTACGCACGGGATTTTTCCAAGTGTTTTTACCAAGAAAACGAGAGGTATTCGAGTTTATTGGCGATGGCTACGGATCTAGCGTCGATTTTATTTTAACCGAAAATCAAATTAATACCTACAGCTAACCACATGATGAAGATAACTTTTCCTATACTGCACTTCGCATCAATCGGTGAACCTCTGTATGTACCGACTTCCATTTCTATTACACAGGTAGAACAAAACGCTTTTATTTTATAGACAGTACTTTGCATGTTTAGAATTTTCGAAATCTTAGTTTCACGTACAGTACTACAGTTTATAAAATTATATTATGATTTTTTAAACAAATTAAAGCAGTTATGTATAGCAAATAAAATATTTATATAATTATTATTATATTTAATAATTGTTAAGAGTAATATTGTGATACATACATATGGTTCATATTTGATTGGCAATATCATATTTACCACACAACGTAATGTTTGTACACGTCTATATAGTAAGAACCATATGAATCACGCGTTATAGCAGCCTGTTTGCGATACGATTTTTTTACCAATCCGGTAAAATTACCGAGTTTTATCGAATGCAGGATTTCAATACATGAAAACAATTATTTGATATGCATTCAAAAATATATACGTAAATCCTATGTAACTCAGATTTTGTTTCACTATTATGAACCAAATGAAATACGTGATATTCTACAGGAATTACGTATACCTTATGATTACAAATTTTTCAGGTAGTAACTTATTAATAATGATGATGGTGGACTAATTGATTATGCAATTGTCGTTAGCATTGGAAACTCGCACGCGTTAACGATCTTCAGTTCGATCGTCTCGAAATCGTTTTCAAGTATTGGCGCAGCAATTAGGGTTTCCGAGAGAGCAACAGCTTCAATAATGACCATTGGAGACCCATCGGGATGGGAAGCGTCGTAATTTCGCGCCAGCGGATAAATGGGTGACCGGTTGGCTATCAACAGTTTACGGATCCACGGTAGAAAATTGCAGTTAACTAATGAATGAACGAATGCCGGATAATTCAACGGAGTAATTGGTTCGATAATTGGCAACCACCCATTAACGAGGGCGGCCCGGCAATTTGCCGAGCTAACGAACTGTCATAACGAACTCGAACCCCGCGACGTGGGCCCTTTTGTTCTTGGCCCGGTAGTTGCCGCGACGCGTCGCACCGGCCAATTGCCACTCGCAATACAACGCGTGTGCACCCTACTGTTCTCATCCTCCGTAAAAGATATCAAAGATATCGATCCACCCTCATGGAAACACCTAATTAGGCTTGTTTCAATGCCCAGTTGACCAAGATTATGTCCTTCAATGGTTTCCACTTGTCTCATCTGGAGTGGACTAATTGCTACCACCCCTTTAGCTCCGAGGACTCTTCAAATAGTATTAACTTGTTACCATGGATGTTCAATGGAATTGAACTGCGGAAAGAAAGACTAGATGTGCAGAAAATATAAAGAATGCACATAATGTGCGGAACTTGATGACATTCACGCGAACGGAATCTGAATTTAGATTTTATTTTTTAAATTAATATTCTGTAAGTTTTATTTTCCAGTCTACGAATAATATACTGGAATGGAAATGGCGAAGTTGACGTAATCGTTTATCGATGATGCAAATCACGTAACGGCGGGGGTTATGAGGAATGGGTGAAACCGATGACCGGGGACAGGTAATCGATAATCGCGTATTTTCGAGCCAGAGCGGATTTACGATGATTTCTTCGTTTTCCTCTCCGGGAGATGAACATTTTTTGCACGAATCCCCTTTGTTCAGACTCTCCTTTGTTCGGGGATGCGGTAAATGACGCCGATATATACGTATATCGAGACGCGTCCAGCATCACAGGTAGATAGAAGTTAGGGGGTGTGAGTTAGGCTAACTTCTGGCGAACCGTGAGTCACGTAACTTCTGATGAACCGATTGTTCCGAGGGACTCCGATAGAATGAGGAGTGCGCGGTTGAATAGATTCGAAGAGAGAGGAATCTTCGGGTATCGAACGTTACGCTGTGTTGGTTAATGGATCCAGCTACGCTACTGGCCGTAAGTATCAAGACACTTGCCTTGTCAGATATATAACAACGTAACATTTTATTTACTGCATCAATAATTATATGAAACGTTGTACGAATTATTATTTGAAATAGGACAATGACCCGGTCCAATTAAAATGAACAGTTCGTTTTATCGTACGTTTTTAGACTTTAAAATTCATCGTTCGAGTTAATTACGAGACGGGGTAACGATTGCGTTTAATCGGGACGGGATATTTTTGCGATGAGTTCGTAGTTTACATATCACGATATTTCAGATGTTACCGTTCAGTTGTTTCGCGTCTGCACGTCCGCGGGGCAACACGTTGTTTTATTCACAACGATAAACTAATTGCTGCGATTAATTTGTCATGAAATATGAATTTGTTACGCATAAGAATGAACATCCGATTTATCGTTCCATTATTTATTCCGGCCTCGTGTTCCAGTTTTGATTTACGCCCCATTACTGCGACACGCTCTGCCCGTCGATATTTGAATTGTCCCTTCAGAAAATAACAACCGAGTGCGGCTTAACTTCGTTCCATCGTTTTTGGATGAGAAATTCAATCGGATTAATGACCTCTGTTTAACAATTCTGTTTTACACTGTTGGAACATCCGTCAACTTACATTCCTTAATTGCGTTCGTACAAACACGAAATAAATGAATGACTGCAATTGAACGGCTCAATATTTTGAATTTTAAATGATTAAGGGTGACGGTCATCGGTTGAGCCTGCCGAAATTAATGAGATTCGAACGAATACCAGAATTAATGGAATTGTCGTGCGAATCCGTTTCATTTCTCTCTCTCTCTCCTCCCCGACATCACCTCTTCCTCTCTGACCCGGTTAGCGCGAATGGAACACGCGAGCTTTCCTTGGTCGCACCTCGAACACGTGCCAATCGATTAGCGAACGCCTCGGGACCCGGAACTATTCGACGCCCGGCCTACGTGATTTGCATCCTCCTCGATAAGCGCTAAACAAGCGGCGATAACGGCCGATGGGCGACTACTTGGTCAGGTAACGACCAACTGTACGCGTTCCTTGACAAGAGCCGGTTAACAAGCTGGGGAGACGTGCCATTGGATCGATTCCGATTCGAAACGTAAACGGATCGACCGTGGTTTCGATGAATCCAGGCCAAACGCGATGATTTGTGGCGAAATTTTTTTCGTTCCCTCGCAAGGGCTAGAGTCGGGACCGTGTGAATGTTTCAGAGCACGGCGAGGAGCGTTATGAACCCTGTTAAGGCTCATTTACACCGTCGCAGCGTCCCAGCCGAGGGATAGGAAGCGTACGTAGAGCGAATTTCGATGAGAAAGCAAGCCGCGCGAAAACGAAATGGATGATCGACGCTCGTGTATCCTTAGGAGGGGTTCGGGTACCTGTAGCCCGGCTTCTAGATTTCTGAAACGCATTCCGCGAGAAACGGATGCACGAAGGGACATCGGGAATTATTCATGAAGGAGAATTCCGCCCCGGCGTCTCCTCTGGGAGCACTGGGTGTCCCTGTTTCGTATTCCTATTCCCGCCCCCCTCACCTTTATCCGCCGCTGTTCGCGTATCTGTAATATTCAGGTGGCCAGTAATTTCTCTGAGTATTTGGGAAATGTGCGAAATGGGATGTGAGGCAACAATTATGCGAATTGTAAGAATAAATGAAACCACCGATAGTCGTCGTTTCCTTGTGCTAGGCTTTAATATACGTATATAAGAATTCTCAATAAACACCAACTCACTCAATGCATTGACTTGATGCAGAATGATTTCTTATAAAAATTAATAATCCGAATGAATGCGAAGAATACTATTTGTATCTCTTCTATAACAAAGTCCTTATGTTCATTATAATTGTTTAACTTATACAAGTACAGAGAATCTGCTGTTTGCAATTCGCCCGCAAGAGTGTCCGAGGTTACGGCACATTGTTTTCTTTTATAAAGAGGATGTTCGCTACTCAAGATTCTCCTGGGTGAAAGATAAAAGAAAGAAGATCCAACATCTTTCAGGCTTTATCATCAAAGAAGAAGGATATTCCATATATCTTTCGACTCTATCGTTTCCATCTTCTAACATCGTTCGAGGAACCTTGTATCTAGTGGCAACTTCTGAATAAATCATGTCACTGTCAAGGAGAACATAGCCATCGGGAGCAGGAGTTCCGCAACCCCTTCGACGAGTTTGCCAGCTTACTATGCTTATCGCGAGGACGTCGGAATAACGCGATCGAGAGGAAACAAAGTTAGCAACAAAATCGCGAGGGAGAAGCTCGCCGCAGGGGGCGGGATTGGACGGCTTGGATTCTG